CGTCAGCCTCGTGTGAGGGAGCAGGGGCTGCTGAAGTGGCAGGGAGCCTGTCTGGTTCTCTGGGGCCACCTTGAGGGTCTCAGGGATTCGCATCTGCTGACTGATGCCCTCTGTGTACTCCAGTTCATAATGGATACGGTTCATCTCAGCCACCTCTGCAGAGGTGGAGGTGAAGATAGGCCTGCTCATCCAGCCTGCAGACACATCAAATGGGAAAAAATAAAAGCATACTTAAAAATACTCAAAGGATACAAGATAAGAATGAGGTGCAGGAGAAAATGTGAATGTCAGTGGCCTGTCTGCAATGCCATCCCGCCTTTCCCATTGTAGTTTGAAGCTATATTGTTATACACAGTTTAACACGACAAAAATTCTTGCCAACTGGCTCTGTTGGTATGGCACCTCCCAAAACACGATCGCTGTAAACTGTAAAAGGTGTTTCTCGTACTGGACTCAAATAACGTTATAGCCTGAGGTGGAGGGTACGGGCTGTAGCTAATGTATGAGAAATAAGATTTGACGTCGTGTTGCATTCAGTTATGTAACAATGCTGACACGAGGTGTAAGCTGTTGTTGATACGGCTTCAATGTCACTGAATGAAAATCCACATTAGACGCCATGTCTAGCATGTGAGCTAGCTCATATCTAGCTAGTGTTACTACTCAGTACGCACCGACAAGCACTAGCTTATGTTTCCTTTATCACAACACGTTACCTAAGCAATGCGTTATCAACTGCGTTATCAATCATAAGGAGGCTAACGAGGTATCTGAGCTTTACTACTCACCTTATGGTTTTAACACCCGGATTTCAAATGTCATGTGTCAAAGTGCAGCTCGTTCTGTTTATTAAACAGCGACAACCGGTTCGGACAACGAGAGAAACGGACAGACACTCCCCTTCAAGCTTGTGTGTGTTTGTGGCTGTCAATAATCTAACCCGAGTGCCCGCTGGGGTGGAGCTAATAAGCCACGCCGTGATACTCGGCGAGCCTCATCAGCAGGGAGCATCCGATCTGAAAACGAGCGCACACGTTTGCTACACTCAAATTAGCTGTTTCACATACAACGTTTACGTAACAGGGCTAATTAGCACAAAACAGTGCAAAACTATTAATTAGATTTTAGGCCATTAACACAGAATGCATGTTGAATATTATAATCAGACTAATGGCACATATATTTAAGTCCATTACTTCCAATTTTTTTTCGGATATTTGAACAATTCCATAAGAAATATGTTTTACTTTGAAAAACACAGCCACTTTTGGGATTACTCATACAAAACACATACCTAAATCATGTGTTGGAGGAAAAATCCAACCAATTAGCTGTTTGCAGCGATATAACTTGGCTGCAGGTTTGCCTGATATTCTGCATTAAATTGAACAGAAATTATCAAAAATGTTCACCGGGTTTGGACAAATATAATGATTCAGTCTAATCAAACACACATTCGTTGAGAACCTTTCCACATGTAGCCCCCTTGGTACTTTAGTAACTGAAATATAAAGCCCCTTAATTTTAGAATTACAGGACATTGTGTGACAAGGGGGTTTAGGATTGAATAATACAGGACACCTTCTAAAGCACTTTTATCAGCTCATACTGAGATTAAATGTGGTATATTTTAATTACAATGTCAGTGGCAGCATTTACATGGAACAGAAAAATGTTTTCTTGTACAGCAACAGAGTCTTAACAGGTCTTAGAAATACAACTCCCACAATTCCATCGTCTTCGGACGACAATACGCATGCGTCTTCTGTCTGGGCCATTATTTTGTCCTCCCTAAGCTTCAAAAGAACAAGAGGCTAAGCGTTCCTTGAAATGAATTAAATATTAATACGCGGAAGGAGCTTTTCTTCTCCTCTTGTTCATCACTGCCGACATACATGGAGTCTCTCGGTCAGTAGCTCCCTGTCTCGCCGGGCAGTTCGGTCCCCAGTTGGACTTGGAGGCCGAAAACAGTGCGCGGAGTGACAGCCCCGTTAAAGCCAGCAGATTGGGTGTTTATCTAACTACTTGGCTAGCCACCTAGCTGGCTTCCTAGACAGCTAAGAGGGGAAAGGAAACCCCGAACGGACCACTTGATAACTTCGTCCAACCTGCTGAGGGGATGGCACACCTTCGAGACATGCAAAACCAGGTACAGCAATCCTCTTTTCACCAACCGTCGCCTTCCTTGTTCTTGTTCAAGACAAGGCGAACCCCCATGACTGGCAGGCTTCCCATGAATAGGTGGGTGGGAGCCCAAGGAGTCAGTGCAACTGAATAACTTACCATACACACAAATAAGAATTTCTTTATTTTTCTATCTCCTTGCCAATTGTCAGCACCAGGGGAAACACTGGTAAAGCAACCCGCAAGCTGAAAAATGCCAACCCGCAAGCAAATGTAATTATAAACTCAAATTTTCAATAATGTATAAAGTATTACTTTAAAAATCTCCATTGTTTTAAGCTTGTAGTTGTCAAATGCCTTACGTTTTTTTATCGAATGACTTCTTCAGGTGCCTCTTACTCAGTCAAATCGTTACTCATTTCCTGCTATTATGGAAAGAGAAAACCACTGAGCTTTGTCATTACATCCTGACACAAAGTTCTGCATAGAGTTTATGTAATTATATATGCTATGGCTACTTACAATAATAAGAAAGGTTAATTATCCATTATGTTTTATATTTGAGTAGTGCATTCATGTAAAACAAGTCATTTGGTCTTGGCACATAGTTTCTGTACTGTTCAGGTGCTTGACAAGAGACATCCATAAGCACTCAGGTAAGCTTCCAAACCACAGGCATTGTAACGTATACTCAATAATTCAGTGCTGTCTTTGCTGTCTCTGGACCAGAATACCCGGTTGGACCCCGAGGAGTACTTCACCAAGCAGGAGAGGATTGGGAAAGGTTCCTTTGGAGAGGTCTACAAAGGTATTAACAACCGCACAAAGGAGGTGGTGGCGATTAAAATTATAGACCTGGAGGAGGCAGAAGATGAGATTGAAGACATTCAACAGGAGATCACAGTACTGAGCCAGTGTGACAGTCCATACGTTACCAAGTATTATGGATCATACCTGAAGGTGAGATGATGACACATGTACATATTATTGTAGTTATTAACATGAAGATGCTTAGAGACACACACATTGGCATACAAGCAAAGGTTTTAAATCTCAAAATGATATTCATTCCCTTTCAGGGGACCAAGCTGTGGATTATTATGGAGTATTTAGGTGGAGGATCTGCTCTGGATTTGGTAAGGTTTATATTTTTCTGCTGCTCTAATCTGACAAAGTGGCACTTGTTATACTTTAGAAGCAAAACCTGACCTGTCTGTGGCCTTCTCCCCCACCATCCACACTTCTCTGATTTATTCTTGTATATCCCTCACCCCAGCTCCGTCCAGGGCCTCTTGAAGAGACTTACATTGCAACTATACTGAGAGAAATACTGAAGGGTCTGGAGTATCTGCATTCTGAAAGGAAGATTCACAGAGATATCAAAGGTGATAAGCATTCTCTTCATGAGTTGGTGGCCATTAAGAAATCCCAGCAGAGGCACAAAGCACACTTTCAGAGTGAAACAGCATCTTATATAATTGTTTCATGGTACAAAGCCAGATATACTACTTGTAATTCAGAGCTAGTTTGCAGCAGTGTGGTGTATTGAGTAGAGAGACTATCGGTACATTTTTAAATACTGGAGTGCTGCTGAGAAGGACACTCTGATGACAGAACTGCTGAGTAACAACATGCACATTCAGTCTCAACCAAATGCAAAAGGAATATGCTAACAAGCTGTAGAAATGTAACTGTATAACCACAATCTGTGAGCTTGGCATTGCACAATATACTGTACGTGTTAAATGTATGTGTCTGGATGTAACTTTTCTTCCCTCTGTAGCTGATGTTGTGATCTTATCTTCATGAGAAAAGAAAATGTACCACTTGGTATTCATTAGAGAATCACAGAAATAATGACAGCTCAAAATTGCATAGATAGCTTGTGGATTTATTGTAGAAAGTCAGTATTCTTGTATTTAAACTCTCCTTCTGCCAAAAACACTGAACATTTCCTGATATCCGAAGCTGTCTGTGTTTGCCACAGTGAAATTGGAGAAGGGACTCTGAAGTGTCCTTTGTCCATCTGTCCACCAATCTGCGACCATGTAATAAGCTGAATGCTGCTGATTCGATTTTGGCAGAATAATTAATCATTTGGTTTCACTTTTTTTTTTTCTTACCCCAGAATGGGACCGCATCAATAATTGGTAATGTCATGTCATTGATGCCCTGTTTTTCACGTGCATTTCTTTTTTTCTTTTTCTGTGTCCTCCTCCTAGCCGCCAATGTGCTCTTGTCAGAGCAGGGCGACGTGAAGCTGGCAGATTTCGGGGTGGCAGGACAGCTGACAGACACCCAGATTAAGAGGAACACATTTGTTGGCACGCCTTTCTGGATGGCTCCAGAGGTTATCAAACAGTCAGCCTATGACTTCAAGGTGAGGCCAGAGTCTGTGGAGTGTACAGGAGACGCCCTGTCTTTGGGTTTGTCTGCTGGTTTAAACTGTCACTTTTTGGGTAAAGAGAATTTTACATTGATATAAGGTTTTGTTATCGGTGATGGCACTCAGAAGGAAATGAATTTTTCAAGCATCTGATTCACATCACATTAGTTAGAAAATTAGGAATTCTTTGTATACTTTTGAGCGACTGTGTGACGTTAAACATATCTCACTTAACGTCTCTCTCCTGCCCAGGCTGATATCTGGTCCTTGGGGATCACTGCTATTGAATTGGCTAAAGGGGAGCCTCCCAACTCTGATCTACACCCCATGAGGGTCCTCTTCCTCATCCCCAAAAACACTCCACCCACACTTGAGGGGCCTTACAGCAAGCCCTTCAAAGAGTTTGTGGAGGCTTGTTTGAATAAAGACCCTCGTTTTGTAAGTAAAACAGCCGCATCCACCTACAAGCATTGTAGCAAAACTGAAATGAGTTCATACGTGCTTGTCTGGGATAAATATCAGAAAACTGAAGTAACTCCATATTTTCACTGCTGCTCTGAGTGAAAGCAAAGTAAAATTCAGGTCATTGTGATTAGATTAGCCGCACATTCCTTAACAGGAATTAGATTTTGTTCTGTATTTTCTCAAATATTCAAACATGATTCAAATCACATTCTTACAAAGTGCCAAAAATATAAAGATAATCTGAGTAATGTGATGTAAACACTGAAACTTCCTGTAGCATCACAGCTGTGTATGTTTTTCCAGCTAGCTCCAGAAGCTAGTGACTATGGCCCAGTCAGTGAATGTACATTTTTATGCTCCTGTGCACAGAGGCCAACCGCCAAAGAGCTTCTGAAGCACAAGTTCATCACACGTTACACCAAGAAGACCGCTTATCTGACAGAGCTGATCGACCGCTACCGACGCTGGAAGTCAGAAGGACATGGGGAGGAGTCCAGCTCTGACGACTCAGATATGTGAGCCTCAGTAGCACATATTCATACTCTCCAGTTATGCACAGTTCCACACGTGCACAACCATTTTGTCAACTGACTGAAACTAAACTAACCTGTTAGAGAAAATGAGGATTTGTTGATGGCCATTTATTGTATTTATTGTAAAGCACTAATCAATATCAACAGTGAGCTCCTTTTATAGATCTTTTTTTGGCTATTGTGATTTGTGTGTATGTGTCAGCATAAAGTTTTACAAAACACTCTTTTCAAATGTCAGAATGGATTTCTTTCCTTTTTGCAATTGTTTTTTTTTTTCTTAAATTACACCCCATTAGGGGTGCAGCAGTGGTTCATTTTGTTGCGTTTAAACCCTGACCGCTAGATGGCAGTATTGTAATCTATATTCATATAGCTAATTCCGTAAAAAAAAAAAAAAATCTTCAAAGAAGATTTATGCTTATGGTCCTGTGTTGCTTGTTTTGACAGTCTTTCTAAAATAACGAAATTCGCAGTACATTGTCTTGTTAATACTATCACAATATATCTCAATATATTGACTCGTAACCCCTGTATCGTGATATGTATGATATCACCAATTTCTTGCCACATACGCACACCCATATATTTTGAACATTAGAGACATTTTTTACATTAGTGCAATAATGTAAACTCTTTGATTTATTTAAGTATGTTGTGCTTCTCTCTCCTGTTAAACCTGCTACCCCTCCATTTCGTCCCTCTGTCCTTCCTTCTTTTAGGGATGCTGATGGTGATGTGGATGCATATCCCATGTGGACCTTCCCCACAGTCAGACCTACCACTATGAATCAGTTACAGAAGGGCTACACACACACAGATTCGGAGGTAAAGACATATGCAGCACACAGACACACAGTCAGAACTTTGTTGTTGTTGTTGTTGTTGTTGTTGTTGTTTTTCCTAACACCCTTTTTCTTCTTCCAGTCAGGAGACTCAGTGAAAAGGCAACCCAAGTCACAATGCTTGTCTGCTTTGGTAACACCCATCTTCAGAGAGGTACATGTAACTTTTGGAGTGGGGATACTATAACTTTTTAAATATATTACATTTCATTGAGCCTTGAACGAGTTTGGTTTTTAAACACTTGTAAAAATCTTTCTTAGTGACAGTATGTGCACATAGCACTGACCCAAGGTTGCTCGTAACAATGCACTGTATCAAAAAAAGCAGACAACTCTAAAAAGCCAGAAAAGAAGTGATATGATCTGCAGTGATTTGTAGAAACAGATTTCATCAAATTTATTTGGTCCAGTACATGTCTGGCTTTTCACTAATTTAGCCTTTGTTTTGTCCCAGAATTAATCTAATACTTCTTCAGGAAGTTGGTTCAGTTGAAATTAGTGTTCAAACTAATGTACTTATTATACAAATTCAAAACTGTCTTTATTATAGACTGTGCATCATTGTTGTGCCCGATGTCCTAGTAGGAAGGTGTTAAAGTGAATCATGATGTCTGTGCAGGTGCAATGCATGTAATGAAGTAGTTTTACAGTTGTATATGTACATTTGTAGTTGTCACTAAGCTTCAAGTCTCGGGTCCCCAGGGTTTGAGTCCGAGTCACTAAAGAATAATCAGTCGAGTTATCGTTAGCCGAGTCTCATTACATTAAATACCACTGACACAGCTCTCACCATTTTAAAAGTTTACTGTGTGTGACACAGTAGCCAAACACATGCGTTCGTAAGCACGCACACTCCTTAGAAATGAATAGTGTGAATATGAGTAACTTATGCCAAAATATTATGTCCTATTAAGAAAAAAAAAAAGTACTTGTCTCTAACTCCCGAATCAGAATGCAGTCAATGCTCGCGTCTGAGTCCTGTTCCGAGTCCTGTTCCGAGTCCAAGTTTAGTTACAAGTCCTGAAAATCAGGACTTGAGTTGGACTTGAGTACTACAACGCTGTGTTTATGTTAGTAAGAATAACAGAAAAGCATGTAGCTCTGTTGACTAATCTTATTATGATGTTGTAAACCATAAACAGCACAGCTGAAATTAGGTTTTGAACAGTCATATTGTTTAGTTGAAGGGTTCCATTGCACAACATACCAAATGCCGTCTTTGATTTTTCTTAGCTGAAGGATAAACGGCGGGCAAGTGGGGGAGGCGTAGGAGCCATCGAGGAGCTGGAGAACGCTTTCAACCTTGCTGAGGAGTCCTGTCCAGGCATCTCTGACCGCCTTGTCACACACATGATGGAGAGAGTGTGCAGGTGACAGAACCATCAGCTCTGCATGGTTGTTACACAACAGAAAGCCTGCCATCTTTTTTCTGACCTGCTGCTTTATGTCGTCCTTACAGGTTTTCTTTAAACGGTAACACCACCCAGTCTTCGCGGTGAAACCCCAGCTGGATGTAACGTAACCCCACTCCCCTACTTTTCTGTCTGCCAGACCCACCCAACTTCTCGGACAAGGACCACAGAAGCACCCCACTCCCCACAGCCCCTTCACCACACCCCCACCCCCCCTCGAACCTTTGTACTCTTCCCAGTCCTTTCCCTGAAGAGATCTTTTTAATTAGTTTTAATTAAATATTTTTACAGTTTTTCTTTAAGAGCGGAAAGTATTTAAGACAAAAAAAAGCCATGACATTTAGAGCATTATATATACCTGTTAGACTGAGAAGAAAAAAAAACTATAATAAAATTTATGGAAAATGTGTCATTATCTACGTCTTGTTTGGTGACACTCCACATTCTTACAAACAGGAGTGCAACATTGCTTGCACAATGATAGTTACTGGACAAAGAAAAGAGCATTTGTTGCAGAAAGGAAAGGAAAATTATCTGCAACCACAACACTATGAAATAATGGCTCACAGATTTACATTTGCTCAAAAGGTTTATTGTGCTATGTACCATGTCAAAGTAGATCATGTTGCTGCTGTAACGTTTTCATTTTTTGCTGCTTGATGCTCAGACATTTTATTTGCTGAGGCATGTTAAGTCACAGCTCAGCTGTACGTTATACAGCAAAATGCACTGTCACTATTGGAGCATTCATTCGGAAATAATTCTATCATGTACTAGCTCTTATATTTACTTTCTTTCTAAAAAAAAAGGAATGTAAACTTGAAGATTTCTATACACTGAGCTATAATTGGTGACACCCTGTTGCAGACAGGGCATGTTCTTAGTGGTTTTTTGCAAAAAGCAAGCAATCTCACTGAACTGAGACCCACACAAAAGGAGTAGAAAGCATTGGCTGTTGTCTGTGTTGAGCAGCTTCAGGTTAATCAAGTATTATTTCAGCCAGGTGTAACTGGACAAAAAGTATTACAGGGTTATGACAAACCTTGAATAGGTACTGATTGGCTGATAGCTGGTTGTACACTGCTTGACCATATTAAGTCACACCTATACAATTGAATCCAATTCAGTGCAACACTTCTGCTTTAACATTTGTTGATGAAGCTCAAAATGTTTGTTTTTGGTGACACTGTCATGAATGTATAAATTCAACTATATGTTTATTATTGAGGTCGTGGTTAAAGGTGGTGTTGTACTAGACTTACATTATATTCAGAGTGGTTCCTAATATTCTGGCCCTCATGTATGTAGCTTGGTAGGACAAAAATAGACACCTCAATCTACTGTAATGTGAAACTGTGAAATGGTAGAAAGTGAAAAAAGGCTTGAATCCCAGAAGCAAATGATAAAGTTGAATAAAACCTTTATTATAATAAATGCATCAAGAACAATATTTGGTGCTTGAATATTTGATAAAAACAGCACAAAGAGGAATGTTGGTCTCAGCTTGGCTGGTGAGGGAAACAATGGCTACATTGACCTCATCGAGTCACTCTAAACCTCTGCAGTCATAGAAACCACAAAGTACTCAGCAGCTGGGACATGAACTAGATAATACCTCTAAAATCTCAATGAAAGGCGAAACAACAGTCCCTGGCACATTACAGTATCGAGGAGACATTTAGTAAAAGAGGTGTCCTTCATTTGTCAGGAAGACTGCAAGAGGTCGGGGGTCACAGTTTTTTTAAATTCATGTCAAACTCAAGAGCTTAACACTTGAATGTCATTGTACTTGGTGAAACAAATTTGAGAACTAATGGATAAGGTTTGGACAGGAAAAGAGAGGAGTTGACCCCAACACAGCACTCGAGGGAAATTTTACCTGAAATTTTATGGGGTCAAGAGCTGCATGCATATGAGTGGATAACATGAGTGACACTGAGCAGGGCGGACCCTGTTTCATGTGGAAATCTTAAATCATGCTTTTTCTTGACAAAAAATTTAATACAATGGCATAAAAGTGTATTTCTGCTAGTTTTCACCACAGTTGATTCTCCCAGCGAAGCTCTTTCACAGAGCTAAGGTTAGCACGTGCTTTAAGAGACTAAAAGCACTGAACAGGAGCAGTAATACTTTGGTTTTCTCAATAGCAAAATGGAAAAAGGTTGTAACAGAACATCTCAGTGGGTTTGTATTCAAAATATATGCCACAGTTTTCAAAGATGCTTCACATGACTTCATTTGAATAACTGGCAAAAGTTTAACAAGGACACAAAATCTTAAAAAAAAAAAAAAAAAGAAAGAAATGGAACCCTTTAAATATATAAACCCAACACTGTCTGAATATACTTTACTGTTGTGGATAAAAAAAAAATGACTCCAGATCCCATGTGGGACTGAATGAAGATAGTGGCAAGCAGTACGAGTCAATAACCCGATGGCTCTTAACATCTGTTCTGCTATCATCCTTCTCTCTGGTCAAACTCAAGCAGTGGCTTAAATACCTACAGTGGAAGTAAAGAGTACAAATTATCATGATTGTATTGTTACTGTTCAAATCTGAGAACTGTTGAATTGTGCATGCAATAATCAGTGTGTCTGCATGTGAGCGAGTGTATGCACGGGTCCTGCTCCTACCGCAGATGTTTCACACATGGGGGCTGTCTCCCTCTCCATCTCCATGTTTCTGCATCTGGGCCTGCATCTTTGCAATCATCTCCTGCATTCGCCTCAACTGTACAAGACAGAAAATCATGTCTGACTGGGGAAACAACAAATGCACTTAAAACTAATGAGGCACATTCATTTAGACGGCTGAGATCATTTCCTTTGGCAGTCCTGCTAAATGCATCATCATTAATACAAGTCAGATTAGAAAGAACTCCTGCCACATAGACTGCTTGGACAGAAACCAACTGGGAACCTTATTCATTTACCAATGTTAGTTACAAAGCAGAACAGAAACAAGTCTTATCAAGGCTGGACTGTTTCCAGTATTTAAATTATTTGAGCTAGATTGTTAAAGGAATAGTTCTAATTTTGGGGAGACGTTTCTTTTAGCTTACTCGCCAAGACGAGAAAATAACACTCATTTCTGTACGCTAGAGCCAGCAGCCAGTTAGCTTAGCGTAGCATCACATAAAGACTGGAAACAGCTACCGTGGAAATATTCACCTAGCAGCACAGCGTTACCTCAATGAACTAGTTCCCTGTTTCAGATCTTTATGCCGTTTGCCTTTTTGGCTTCATATTTACAGATATGATCGGCATACTGTACGTTCAGACAAGAATGGGTCTAACTATTCCTTTAAGAAACCTGGGCAACCAAGAAGGACAATCCATGAAAACTGAATTTGTTTTGATTAACCTCTAGAGTCCTGAGCTTTGGAAACCCAAGCTGTGCGGTCCTCATATGAGGACGCAGGGACTCTAGAGGTTAAGCCCAATGTAGTAGAGTGTCTAAAACCTCCCACCTCAGCCTCCTTCTCCTGCAGGATCATGTCCTTGTCCATCTCCTCCGGCTCCGGTGCCTTTCTGTATCGACAGCACAAGTACAGTTACATTCCATGGTGCTCCAGGCAACAGAATCAAATATCTGCAATCACTAAGCTCAAGTAAAATGTACAGTCAAATAGGTTATGTATATGAAATCATTTTGTTACATGTGACTTTTTAAGTAACATTAGGCAAACATGATGACAAAAGCCACACTGAAAAAGTGGGAAAAGGGTCAGTGGGTTAGTGGAGTTCTTCTCTGCAGGTAGATAGAAAAGCTCGCAAGAGAGACGTGGGCATCTACAACAGGTAACTGCAACTAGATGAAGGCTCATGAGAAGCAGCAAGCAAGAGAGTCAGGGGAACAGAGTTACCTCCCCCATATAAAAAAAAAGGTACCTCCAACAGTCCATTCATGGGATTGGACAAATCAAGACCGGGCCGCCATCATTGGACAGATGGCGATGTGAGGACAGTAAAACCACTCTGGACAGTAAAATCCTGGGTTGGCTTTAGAGGAAAGTCTAAAAGAATGCTTGTGGTCTACACAGAGCATTAAATGGTGATATATGTACACTATGTTAAATGGCACACATGTATGCTGCTTACAACCTCTATGCATATTAAACTAGACATTAATTCAGTTCTATCTCACTACCACGACTCAACATGCAAAATAGTTAGAGCTACTGCACACAGAAATTATACTACTAAAAAAATCCCACTACACAGGAATAATACATTTTAACTGTGCATGTGTCCAACAAAAGGCATTACTATGCATTTCTAACACTAGATTTGTTATACGTGATTACTGTAAATTCTTATCAGAGGGTTGCTGAGGTGGGGGAGGTGAAGAAAAGCAAGCTGACACAGCAAGTACGTACACAGGGGACAGAGGCAGAATGTAACCATGGGAGGACAACCTGCCACCCCGTTTGAGGCGTTCTGAGCGGAAGTTCTCGTAGTGCAGGTCCTGGGTCACTTCCTGCAGATCTTGCATGTGGGTTCTGTGGGGTTGTGGAAAAGTCATCAGCTGATAAATACTCCAGTACAGATGTTCTGACAACTACAGATGCTGGCAGAGTAGGGCTGTCACGCTTTCCAAAAATCTCGTTGGAACTGTCAGAAAGACCGTACCCCCCTGGTATTATTGCTAATGTTTTTTCCTCCTTTCCTGCCGCGGTTACACATTAACATAAAAAGTATGGGCAGAGCTAGACATCCTGGATAATGATTACATATTTACCAAGCTAACTATAAATTCTTCCACAGCATTTATAGGAAATCAGAAATATCTTGCACTTTGGTTCCAGTCTCCTCTTGCTCTCTTACTCACATCAGCATGGTACGCAGCTTGAGGAAGTCGTTGTGCTCTGGGTTCTCCACCTCTACCACTCCCCATGGGTACAGACGGCCCCTCACCTTCTTCCCTTTGGCCTCAATCTGCTGGTTGGATCCTACGACTGCAAATGGGATGCTGGTCTAGAAAAGAGTTTCAAATACTTTACATGACTACAACACTACAAACGGATACACGGCTGAGTGCGTCTTTAAAAAAAAAAAAAAAAAAGTTTACCTTGAGGATCCTGGTCTGCTCTTTGAAGTCCTCATCCTCATCTGACTCAGCATCAGGAAGGTGATAGATTTTGATACCATGTTCATCAATCTCATCCAGAATCTTACACAGACAAAACACAGATTATTATCTGTTATGAGGACAAATGTCGACCTGTTGGTTTCCACTTAGTAAAAAAGTAAAAGAATATTCTATTATTTAAAATAATTTCTGACACGATGTCGCTGGCATTCACGTATCATTGGGGTGGTACCTACGCTATGGCTAAAGCAGTGAACATGAGCACATGATAGCTACCGTTTCTCTCAATAACTGGAAAGCCCTGTAAACAAGGTACAACTGTGCTGTTCTCACCCTGCGCTTGAGCCTCTCTCTCTCCCTGAGGGTGAGTGTGTCCGCCTTGGCGATGACAGGAACCACGTTAACCTTATTGTGAATGGCCTTCATGAACTGCACGTCCAGGGGTTTCAGACTGGTCAGACAGGAAACAAAGAGACAAAAGGACCCAAGTAAGGATTTAGAAAATGCAGAGAAGCAGTGTCAAATATGTTAACTAACACACAGACAAACAGTGTATTAACCGAGTACACAAATATGTTAACTAACACACAGACAAACCTCAGTGTATTAACCGAGTACAATACAGTACAAATGCAAGTATGTGTTGCTCACCCATGACCAAGCGGGGAGATGAAATAAAAGCAACAATGAACTCTATTGTCGACAATGTGTCGACGATTTAGACCGCTCTCGTCATGGAGGTAGCGCTCAAACTGGTCATCGATGTAGCTGATAATGGTGCTGAAACTGGATGAAACACAATATACATCACATTATACATCCAGTTTGCATCACAGTATAGTGTACCAGAAAACCACCCACTGAATACTAAAAGCCCCAAAACCCAGATGATTTAAATTAACTGTCCAAGATTAGCAGCTCATTACTGGATCACAGGACTGACAGCGGGTATTTTAAATCTAAAAAAACGTCATCTCCTCAGCAGCATACCAGTCCTGGCTGTTGATGGCGTCTCCGTATCCTGGTGTGTCTACCACAGTAAGACGAAGCTTCACTCCTCGCTCCTCAATCTCTACTGTCGACGCCTCAATCTGAACCGTCCTTTCTATCTTCTCTGTTAGACAGAAAGAAAAATAACTGAAAGTAGGGACACAGTCAGACCAACATGATTTACTAAGTGGCTCTACTGAGTTAAAAGTATTGATTTGACTAACATGCAGGTTAAACTGTTCTACATAAAACAAGAACCATTTAGTGTGCGTGTTTTACCTGCTGCTCCAGGGATGACTCTCTCAGGGTAAAGGTCAGTTAGAAAAAGGCTGTTGATCAGGGTGGATTTTCCAAGCCCAGATTCACCTTTTGACATTGGAGGAAAGTGAAACAGTCATCCCGGAATCAACACCAGTTAACGTCAAAATAAGAAGCTGAATAAATACTAGACAGTTGCTAATTTACAACTGCACAGTCAGATTCTGGCTGGCGTAAAGTTCCTTGCTGTGCTGCATGAGACGAGAAGCCTGCCTGTGATGCACACAAGGCCTCACACCAAACAGAAATATGTATCAGCATGATACCAAGTCTGACTTCACTGCAAATCTTTCCCAGAACTATGTCAGATGGTGGGTTAAACACTTCTTGTACCTGAGGACAGAGTGCGGGAGTTCATAACCAGCCAGCAGCATTCAAGTGCTTCAAAGTCAACAGGGTCGTGTTACTCAAAGACGAGTAGCAAGAACTAAGAACATGGATATCCTCTTCACTCTTTATATGAAAATCTGCAATGAATTAAAGAAGCTATACTGACTAATAACTTTCTCCTAAGACTGTCTGCTTAGTGAAACTATGCTGTGTACATCAGTATCAAGCTTAAACTTAATTGGATGCCATTATTTAAACTGGCTCCACAGAAAAAAAGGAAGCGTTGTACAAACATCCCCAAACTTCTGTAGAAACTGTAGAGAATAAAACAAACACAATAAACCAGCCACAGTTTCAGTCAGTGATCATGTTTCAAATAAATGCTAATGACCTAATTCTCAGACTTGTTCCAAAGTCAAGTCTTTCAGCACATGATAATGCAAATCCACTGTTTAAGTCTCGTAGTACGACTACTTTTTTCCTGGGCAACCAGCAAGTTACTGCAGCACTTTAGCTTAAGCAACAGCAGTGAACAAACCTTCTAAAAATATGTAAGAAAATAAACCATGTTCCACGGCCGCATTAGAGATGCTGAAACATGATAAACCTAAAGTGAATGCTGTTATTGTGGTTCCCACCAGGGCTGTGGCAAACATGTCTGTTAAACAAAATTCAGGTACCTGTGGGATAGTATCTGTGTTTTTAACTAAACAAATGTATAATGATGAGAAACTGTGCATTTACATTATAAGTATATTATTTCTATCTAAACATGCAGGAAAACAGTGACCTGTAGAGGTCACACAGAAAGTTAAACAAGCATTCAGAGAGTTTTCTTGCAGCGGAGGGATCAGCAGGCCTTGTCCACTGTGTGAATTACTCCCTCAGGGCCCACAGGCTACATTCCTTTTGGGTTTATTTTAAAGCAGAAGGATGAGCAGTGTTCAGAGGAGCTTCTACCCGCCCCACTCAGCAACAAGCACAGAGGTTCACACAGTCACAGCATTTAAATTGCTGCTGGTGCCAGCTGAGCAACTACACTTATGTGACATCTGCCTCCACTGAGCAAAGAGCCTCCATGCACACAAACACACACCTGACTAAGACAAAGCAAGTGCTTAAAAGCTGTGGAGGTCAGAGAACTGTCATGGGGAAAGGCCATTATAAAAAGAAAAGCACATGACAGCAACAACTGACAGCAAGACAAATGGGCAAGATCCCACTATATGTTTGTAACAAAATCAAACTCGCATGAGCTAAAAACCCAAAATGCATTTCTCAAATGTTCAATCACTGAGATACACTCTCTTTTTCCAAACTAGATCAGTATGAACTGACAGCAAGAAGAAAACAAAATTAGAAAAGTTCTGAAAAAGAGTGACGACACACTCACCTACCACCATCAGTGTAAACTCAAATCCTTTTTTCACTGACTTGCGATGAACCTGGTTAGGCAGGTTGGCGAATCCAACGTACCCTGGAGTCTCAGGGTTGGTGAACTGACCCTGCTGTAAAAAAAATAAAATAAATAAATAAAGTTTAAAGACAGGAGGGCAGAATTCTTTCAAAAACATGTTAGGTAGAGTACCTTTAAGTGTTAACATCACCAAATTCCCCCCCCCCACCCCCATCACATCCTGTTTCCTAAAGCTGCGACGTAAAATACAGATGCCTGGTTGTGACAAACTGCAAGAAATGCAGCCTCCAGTCTAATGCTAGCATTAGCTACGGTAGGTCGCAGGGGTGTGGAAACGGCCCTCGATGTTAAAAAAAAAAAAAAAAAAAGTTTAAAGACAGGAGGGCAGAATTCTTTCAAAAGGTACTCTATCTAATTCCCCCCCACCCCCATCACATCCTGTTTCCTAAAGCTGCGACGTAAAATACAGATGCCTGGTTGTGACAAACTGCAAGAAATGCAGCCTCCAGTCTAATGCTAGCATTAGCTAGCTAACGAGTACCTTTGTCAGAACGCACTGGTTATTTGCTAATCTGACACAAAGCTCCATAATTAAAATCACATTAATTCAATACAAAAGTAAAATCATGACCATGCTAAGTCACTAATGTTACCAAAACATACACATTAGCTTGAGAAGCCAACACATCCAGAAAGGAAGAACTTTAAATGCTCCACATCTCAAAAGGTCACACTGATGTTAACCCTGGTTTTTGCTCCTTGTCCCACGTTTTAATCCAAGCATCACCTTGGCAATTGTTACAACAATAACATGGCAGCTAATTAGAGGTGTTAGAGTAGAGATCACTGAGGGGACATCTGTTCTGTACAGTCAGAGTATTTAGCAGGAAAATGGTGACTTCTCTGCAGTCTTATTTGCATTTCCACCCATCACTCCAGTGTTTATGGCCCTTTCCTACACAGAGCTCCTCAACAGACTCAGTGAGTAAAATACAAAGGTACTTGTTCCTAATTTGGTTTGTTCTTTTTGGCTGCACAGTCTTGAAAAATTTATGGAAGCCTCCCTTCTGCCAACATTCAACAAAGGTCCTGACCGATAAGACTGATAAGTTCTCGCTCTGCCATTGGGCCCTTTCACCACATCTAAAGTCACATTGAGTCATGAGGATGGTGAGCAGCACTCTCAGCTCTTTGACTGACCAAACATTCAAGCAGTAATTAATAATGGAAGGAAACCGGGAGAGTACAAAATGTTCCACTGAAATAAACAGTTTAGAAAAAGATCTGCTTGACAGACTTTTAAAACGGCAGCTGACTTACTGTTTATAACAAAACCACTCCACCGTGGATGAAAGAGTATATTAGTAACATACTTTACCCTCACTTTTAACACTACGCCATGAAACTAGACAACAGCCACCAAGTCACAAATAGGAACCTGGTATTATTGCATGTTGTATCAGTTCAGATGGTTTCTGTTTTTCAAGACTCACCTTCATTTTTTCGGCCTGAGACATTTTTTCTCCTTGTTAAACCTGAAAGAACCACACCATTTCACATAGTTAGTTACCTATAACAATAGCCAGCACTTAAACTTAATTTTACTATAATTTGGGCCTTTTCTGAAATAGAAGTAATTCATGCAGTCACATACTTGCAGGCCTGTGAGAGACAGGAAGTCTGGTTTGTGCTCACAGAGGTTTGTGAGAGTGCTGTCTCTCACCACAAAAAAAAAAAAAACTCTTTTCGTGCACAGAAACTAAGCTTATAACAATTTGTATCATGTAGATTTCCTTGATGGCTGTTGTTTCTGGTGCCGTGTTATGGCATCTTTGTTTCAAACTCCCTTATGGATTGAAATAGCCACGGCATTCATTGGTAGGATGAAAACTCACAGCACAATATTTATTTTTGCTGACTGATTTGACAAATGCAACGCTACGTGTCTAAGTTAGCTGGAGCGAACTCAGAAAGCCTTATCGACCTAGAATAATTCGGGATGGAAATAAGTAACGCTACCTAAAACGAATAGTACTAACCTTCTTACGTACACTGTTAGTGAAATGGAAATTTGCTGCTTAATTAGCAAAGCCTGTTTTCATAACGGTAACAACGCGTGGGTGTGAACTGGGCTGATGCTGCCATAAAATCCCCTTTTTGATGGTACTTTTGTATGAAAATGAGTCCAGATCAAAGCTATTTCCCAAGCTAACAGCCCCCCGCTAGCTGTTCAGCAAAGGGGTACAAGACAAGCTTAGCACATCGTTTACCACTAGCTAACTAGCCGAGTAGCTTCTCCAGCAGGATGTTAACTTCAAAGATGCTAATAATAGTTAATGTTAGCGCCGTCGGTTTAACTGCCAGACCGCGACCTGCGCAACACCGAGACAGCTCATAAATAAGAGATGAGAAATAAGAAACGATACCTTGCAGCCCGTTCGCAGAGAATACAGTCCAGGGAGGGACAGAGAGACTAGCTGACGATGAGGAGTAGACTTGGCGGACACCTCAAATTCTTCAGATTCCGGTGCAGCAGCTTCCTTCAGCAGCACAGACAGACCACAATGCACTGGGCCCAGAAGAGCAGCGGAGTTCAGCCCTGTCCCCCTGCTCACACACGGCCATGTCCAGTATCAGCTACTACAAGCTCATTAAAAAGAAAAAGTATTTATTATTAAGACAGAGGCAATTAATAACCGATTATGGGACAACTATAAAGGGTCATAATAGTTTACATCATACAAAACAGGCCATAAGCAGAATAATAGAATAAAAAAAGGCCTTTGTGATGTTATGTTAGATACTGTTAAGGAGGAAATGGAGTATGACTCCAAATTAGCATATCAGCTTTTCCATTTTGCTTTCTGCCTCAGCCAATAATTGATTTCTTTGTAGTGGATCGGGTTCATTCAAGCAGAGATACAATTTGTCGTCTTATGTAAACACTATTGTATGAGAGATATAGGCATGGCCAGATTATGAAACAGTGGGCCATAGACACGTAAAGGCCCCTACCTCTCCTACTCTTCCAGGAGAAAGATTCACAGATTGAGCAGCCAGGTAAGTTGTAGTCAGCATGGTTGTTTGGTGTCCATTTGTAATAGTTTTGCATAAAGTTTAGACATTTTCTGTTAATATTTACTCATTTTGCATTTCTCCCTAGTCATTTTGCAACTATTTTTGCTTGTTCTGTCTATTGTTAGTTGTTTTGCATATCCTTGTAATTGTTTTGTGTCTCTTTTTGCCATTTAATGATATTTAGTTGTATGTAGTTGTTTGCTGTTTATAGTCAACTAATTATGTACGCCAAACTCGGCTGTATAATTGAAAATACTAACAAAGAACATACAGTATACTACCAGTACTAATACATACTAAGAAACATTACAGTAGCTATTTGTAACTTCCAGTACATATCTGGTAGGGTAATAAAATTACAACCCTCTACAGCAATGCACCACCGAATAGATCTTTTTCACATGAGACATGTTGATATGTCACAGAAGATGTGAATAACAAACAGGTGTAAACAAGAAAAATTAATGATGGCTGAATTCCATTTAGCAGCTTCAGTTTTTTTTTTTTTTGCCCCTGCTATTGTGCAAACTGGGTCACTGACACTGATATGGAGCTGGTGGTGACACACCTGTCTCCATAGAGGTCCTACACAGACATCTGTCTCCACACGTTCCCTTCCTGCCTCAGGGCCACTTGCTTGGTAAATGTCTATAAAACAAACATTATTTGGACTGTGTGACAAGAGCATCAGATATGTTATAGGCTATTCATTAAAAGCAGAATGAATAGTCCAACGATAACATAGTCCACTACGTGTGATGTACACTGACTGGCCACTTTATTAGGTACACCTGTACAATTGTGATTTTAGTGGGGCACAACAGATCAATACTGGAGCACGTGCCCCAGTAAAAGGGGCCTAACGACGGCTATGGTACTGTTCTATAATACCTGACGAATACTGTAAAACCATACAGAAACCTGCATTAGCGGTAGGTGGTCAAAAGAGGGTGCCAGGGCTCCTTATATAACTGACAGCTAAAGCCCAACAGTTTTACGGCTTACTTTAAAACACACGAGTGAATCCTCTGGTCAGTGTTATTGGACATAGTGTTATTACAGATAAATAACCAATCTGAAAGCTGCTACACATAGGCACAAAACAGCATAGGTACGTCTGACTACTGCAGTAACATATTTCAGATAATTCAATGAGTTAACTTTGCATATGGCTCGTTGGTCTAGGGGTATGATTCTCGCTTTGGGTGCGAGAGGTCCCGGGTTCAAATCCCGGACGAGCCCTCTCTTTTTTTCGTATAAGCTACATTGCTTTTTTATGGGTAGCAATGATTTCTTCCACAACTGTATGTTTACTCTTATTTAGCTGCAAAAATGGACTTGCCAGACAGCTGAAATGTAACTGTTATATTGATCTTTGTGGCATTACTGCTGCTTATTTTCTCATTACAGTATTATGAATGTGCCTATTTCTGCATGTGCTGTCAATTTGTCTACAATAAGCAGACAAATTAGTCTCATAAATGCTAAATTTGAGCTCTGATATGGTTAGCCACTTTTTCATTTAACATAGGTACTGATAGGCTATATATTAAGATATTGTGTCACTAAAGTATAAATTACCCAAACATAGGTGTTATTGCCTACAGATAAAGAAAAGTAGTTCACAGGAAGCAGCTCTATAGCTGTGAGGCCTCTTTCACTTTGTCTCTTTAGAATCTTCCTGTGAAACTCATTTGATTTTAAAGTCCTAAGAAAACGCTTATAAATGAACACAGTCACATGTTTTGTGTCCAAATCACATTCCCATACTTTTCTTTATACAGTCTCACTTGACTAGTGCAGGAGGAGCATCAGAGGGCCTAAAATATGCTCACTTAAAGCTTTTTTGTCTTCACCCAGCAGGGGCTTATCTGAGCTGGTGTTGTGACAACATCTCTGCTCCCCTGCCTCCATTCTGGCTCAGGACAGCCACTGTTCCACTTAACACGAGTCCAGGGGATATCACGGTAAATACCAGTCTCTCTCCCTTTCTATTACAGCAAGCATATCATCGCCACAAGAGCTACACTACTTCCATTATTTTCATAAGCCTCTTAGTGGCACTATGCCTTGTCATGTCTAGAGTGGCTTCATACTGTTAGGTATTTTTAGTCAGATAGATATTGGATAGATACTTTATGTATTAGAAATGTTTAGTGGAGATAGGATGTCTAGTTAGACTGTTAAATGCTTAGTCATGCTTATGAGTTTCTACAGGGTACATCTGGTCAAGGATAACTAGAGAGAAGAGTTGATGACTGTCAGCAGACAGGGTGTTTAATATTATTATTATGACGTGTATAACTGTAGCCTTAGTCATAATATGTTCTTATGTTTAATGTCATGACATGTCACTAGAGGTCGTGTGAGAATGTTTTTAGCTACACACCACTTAACTAACAGACACACACACATTGATTTGCTTCATGTTTTGACTACTGCTATGACCAGCTGCAAAGCTGGTAACAGAGACGTCTCGGTTGACGTTTCTGTGTAGTATGGGGCTAGCCCAACCGAGGGGATATAATGTATAGGCCTGGTGGGTTCAGGGTCTTTCATCTTACATCTGCCTGCGAGCAGTTTGGAGGTGGAAGATACCTGAGTGTGTAATGTTAATTTTACCTGTGATCCTTTGAATAAATCAGCACTGTTTTGAAGTTACTTGGACTGTCTCGTCTCTCAGAGTTAGCATGGTAAAAAGTACCAGGTACAACAATACTGTGAAGTGAGTGACTTTCTATATATTTTAAGTACCTCTTTCCTGTACCCACCCTTTTAATGAGGTTAAAAGGTATTCTGCCATGAACAAGAACAAAATAAAATGCACAGCTTTTTAAATAATGCTATAATCCCACCTTTCAAAGAAAAGAAGCAAGCCAGAGAGGCAAAGGTGAAGTGCCATACAGTACCAACATTTTTACATATCCTCTCCATCTCAAACTGAGATGGGTCAAAAACCCTGGCTTTTGATCTTTGTCCCGCTCTCTGTGTGCAAAAGAGTGCAGCCTCTTCAACCTAGTAGCTACTGTTTCAGACGTTTAGCAGATGAGGGTTCCTCCGTGGCTGGGTGTTTGAAATGACTACTCTCGGTTCAGAAATGCTTCTTATAACCTTCACTAGCTGGGAGGCTGGTTTAACTTACGGACCATACTTTGACAAGACATGGTAGAAAAGCTGTAATTACACCAGAAGAGGTATAAATGGCAGGCTGTCCTCTCGCATTTTCACTTGATTTATCAAATGATGTGTAAAATCTTAGCTAACACGCCTTTAAAAGACTTAAATCAATCTAATACAAAGGCAACAGGTAGACCCTGTAAGACTATAACCAGTTAGTATAGATCAGTTAAACACTAGAGTCATAAATTCAGAGCGAGCTGGTTCGTTCTCTTGCAAAAGCTTTCACAGAAACATTCTTTAAATGTATAACATTCACTGGAGCCAGAGTCAGAAAGTGCTTCCAGTCTGACAGTTAAAGTAAGCAGTCGTCTGCTTAGACGGCACCTCTCACTTTACAAACAGCACTTCATTTACAGCAGGACATTTTAAATCTCCTGCCTCTGTGGCACTGAGTCACTGACAAATGCCTGGTTGCACATGTATCTCATTGACTGCTGACTCGGTTGTAGTAGTTGTTGGCTGATAATATGGCCCTCAAGTTTATCCTCAGATATTGGAGGAAGTGTATTAATTTAGCCTAGACGGGGCCTTATGAAAGCGTGCTGGCAGGCAGAGATGAGCAGAACCCCCCGCCCCCCGCCCCCAAACCTCTCTGGATCAGCCACAGAGCCTAAGTATATTCCACCATCAATGTGTCAGGGGGAAAGCTATTAAAACCGCTTTACTTTTCCTAAGTATCATGAGAATAAGCACAAGATTTAGTGAAATCCCCCCAGAGCACTGAAAATTTCAGGGATTTGTTTCCTAATGGACTGCTCAGAAGTGTCACGAACTCTTGAATGTAGTTTGGGGATTTTTGTGTATTTTTTTAGAGCTGAAGTGACAAAATTTCAAGTATGAAGCAGCTGAACTTTCCACATATTTGTATGAACCCATACATCAGTTCACTAGTATGCAATAATAGAATTCCTGTATAGACTCAGTGCAGGATAAGTTAGTCTTTCATTCAAATGACTGATATTGTTGAAGTAAAAGTGTGGAATGGTATTTTTAAAAGGTTTCAGTGCATCCATACTATTTCTACTATGATGTGCAGAAGAACACAACACACTGATCTCAAACTCAAACTGTGTAGTAGGCCACATTTCCACATGAGGGTCTTGGCCTTCATCTCATCAAGTCTGCCTCTCCAGACATCCTGCTCTAATCTGTCAGAAACCTGAATTTGTGTATCAATAATTCATTAATTTCCTCCCCCTCCTCAGCTTTCTATTTGACTGTAGATATTGTAAAACCAGCAGTTGTGGTGGTTCCCAGTATGTGTCTGATATCTCGTATCTGATTACAGACAACCCACGCCAAAGAGAAAGCTGTGGTGTTCACAGACTCTTTTGTTCATGCAGTTAGACTTAATTGGAAAACATAGGTGCAATCATTTTTGTTGCATGGAG